TTGTCACTTAAATTGGAAAAACTCCCTCGCGCATTTTTACCCTTCGGGGCGGGCGCGCAAAAATGAGGTGTGACAGTTATAACATTCCCAACTTGTCGTCATTCGACATAACTTATTTTCTTCAATTTGTTCAGCTTCTTAACTTTTCAACCCTCTTGATACTTGTTATCCATGATATTAAAGATTTGTAATCTCGAAGGTAATATGATTAACTTACTTTATGTACTCTCAAAGATGATCTCATTTATGAGCTTACATCAATTGACTTACGAATACTCTTTCGTACGAAAATATGGGATGTAATAGTAAAACGATTCTTTTTATTGTTACGTAACAATAGATTTAATAATACTATCCAACAAATTTTAAGTAACAATTAAAAGAAACATTGTAATTATAATAACTTTACCATACTATACAACGGCTAACAACCATCCAAACAAGGGTAACATCCAAATTTAGCATGCTAACATCCAATCAAATATCATCCTTAAACCCAACCCATCAGTGCGCCCAAACCCAAATCCAGAATTGCCGGATTGCTCTCAATTCGTGAAACACAAATCTATTCGAGTGCGAGCTATCTCAAGTTTCAGAAACCCTAGAAATTCGAAATGGAGAGAGAAAAATCGAATAGGAGAGAACGAGCATCCAGAGACGACGACGACGACCGCCGCCATCATCATCGCGACCGTTCGAAGCACCACCATCGCGACGATGAGAACCGACACCGATCCGATGATCGAAGAGGTCGCGATCGCGAACGCGAAAGGCATCGCGAGAAATCACACGAATCGGAAGTTGTCAGAGAAAAATCTTACGATAGAGAGGATTCCGTGGAGAGAAGGCATTCGCATAGGAGGAAAGACGATAGAGAGAAACGCGAGAAATCGTATGAGAGAGAGGATTCAGTGGAGAGAAGGAATGCACATAAGAGGAAAGATAGAGGAGAAGAGAGTGTGGACAAGAGCAATGGGGGAGATGAGAAGAGAGCTAGGGTTTCAGAGGATAAGAAGGAGGAGAGAAGAGAGAGGAGGAGATTTGATGATAAAGTGAAGAAGGAGGAGGAAGAGGATGTGGAAATTGACGAGGAAAGGAAGGGGAAAAGATTTGAAATGAGAATTGTGAAGGAAGAACCGAAACCCGAGCCCAATGATAATAATGGTCATGGTGTTGGTTCCATTGATAATGTGAGTTTCTTACTGCCGTGCCCTTTTTCACTAGTATATACCAAGTTGCATGCCTTTGTCTAGTGTTGATGAATAACAGTCTTTACTCAGATGAAAATTTGTTAGAGGCAAACTACTTGATTTCTTCCCATCTGCCTAAGGTGGGCAAGCTACTTGGTACTTATGCTGGCAGGAGCTAGCAGTACCCAGTATAATATCCAAGCTTGGCCCTGGCACCGCCGTCATAGAAAAAGAAGAAGAAACATTTTACATTGTTATGCTTGCTTATACCTATGTTTGTATATGTCATGCTTTGTTTCTTACTGCCACTGCCCATTGGCGGAGCCAGGAATTTATGTTGTTGGATTCAAAAAAGTAATGAAATGTAACACTTAGGATTTGGACCTATGGACTAGAGCAATTTTGAACCCCCTTTACAACTACAATAAATTTTCTCCTTATGTTAAGGGGATTCAACAGTTTATATATAACCAAAATGGATTGTCGCTTAGGGGATACAATTTAACCCCCTTGACACAACTAGATCCGCCCCTGGCCATTCGCCTTTGTTACTGGGATACTAGGTTGCATACTTCTATATCATCTTGATGAATTACATTTCCCATTTTATGGAAAAATCTATTTGAGTTGGGTCGCATTTTGTTCGTTGTGCTTGCTTTTGGCAATATTTGTGTATGTCGTGCTTAGTTCAACCACTTTAGATGATTTATCCCAAGCTTGTAAGGAGAATTTTGACTTTCCATGATGTTGCATTGTGTTAGTCTAGATGTCAATACTATGCCTTTGTGATAATAGGTTTCTACTTGTCAAAGTGCTGTCATTTTGTTCTTGTTGTTGCATGGAATACTATGTGGTAGATTTGGAGTTGCAAACAGCTTTTCATCTTTGCACCATTCATGTTAGACTAGGGAGCACAGACCTCAAGAACTGCATTCATCTGTTAACTACCTTTATTATCTATTGCCATGATCAATCGTTCTTCAACCTCCTTCATCCTCCAAATCTGTCCTATCCTTCTGCTTATCTTCGTCTAGTGCTCATGTGTGGAAATATCTGCTTCTGTTTGGTGAGTGGCCATAGAAACTTATCTGAACTAAAACTTTCTGTAGGATTCTTTCATCATATTGCCACCTGGTATTATTGTCATGCTTTGTTTGGTCTTAGGTAGTAGATTGGGGAACTTATAGGAAGGATCCATGTAACTTGTTTGGTTATATCATGTTCTTTTCATTATGCTCTTATTATGTCCTAAGAAGTCTGTTGTGTGGTTTCTTTTTTATCTGATAGGGCTTAACTTGGTTACTATGGCACTTGTTTCTCAGTTGAATTGTTTTATGGTGCATTTTGTTGGTCCTTTCATCAGGATGTTTATCCTGATTTATGCATTGGACTTCCTTATTGCAGGGCGTGACAATGGGACCATACAATGCAGCATTGAGGACCTCCCCTGATAAATCTTCGACTCGTATTGATCCTCCTGCTACCAAGGTATCTTCAATTTCTACAACAAATGAAAATAAGGGAGTTAATATTAACAGATCTCATGCGGTTCCTGGGAAATCTAGTACAGATGGGGCAGCTTCTGATGCTGGCAAGAGTGCCACCTTATCCCTTGATGCCAAAGGAAATGCAAAGGCTCTCATACAAAGGCAGAAGGAGCTGGCAGCAAAGCTTAAGAAAATTCCTTTGGTATGTTTTTGCACCTAAAACCCGCCGTATTTCTGCAGTTTGTAACTCTATTCTCCTTCCCCTTTGGCTCCCTGTTCCTATCTGTTTCTTTAAGTCAGAGAAGCACTGCATTGTTAGATGTATACAGAAGAGCTCTAAAGAGAACATGCTTTTGCCTTTTCTTTTCCCTCTTAGGTTGAACGAGAAGAGCTTTCTTCTTTGTTTTGTGTCAAAGGTATTAAACTACTATTTATGTGCCCTCATTTTAATTATGTAGCTAAACAAGGGTGCCGACTTTACGAGAGAGGGAAGTTCACAGATTGGTCGCAAGGATAGTCTTTATGCCGCTTCAACAGATGCGGGGATATTGCCCCCACCGGTTGCATCTTCAAATTCTGGGATATTACCCACTCCAAGTTCAGCACCTAGCACATCGACTATAGCTGTGGCTTCTGCAAATACGCCACCCAGTGGCTTACCTCAGGTTGCGGGGCTCACAGTCACAGCACAGAACTATGATAAAGTGAAGCGTGCACATGAGCTTTTTGCTAAGATGGGATTCCGGCAGGACCCGGAGTTTCCCCCCCTCATTAACATGTTTCCTGGGCAAATGCCTCCAGAGGTTACCATTCAGCCAAAACCCGCTAGAGCCCCTGTTCTTCGTTTGGATGCATTAGGCAGGGAAATCGATGAACAGGGAAATGTGGTTAACGTGCCTAAGCCATCTAGCACCCTTAAGGTACGGATTATATGTGTTCATGCCATCTTTTTTCATGTTTCAATATTTATTAAAATTGCTTGTGGTGACTTTGGGTTGTTTGTGCAGGTGAATATCAACAAGCAGAAAAAAGAAAGCTTCCAAATTCTCAAACCTGAACTTGATGTTGATCCTGATAAAAATCCTCATTTTGATCCGAGGATGGGGATTGACAAGAACAAAATTTTGAGGCCAAAGAGGATGTCATTTCAGTTTGTGGAGGAAGGTAAATGGTCCCATGATGCAGAATTAATTAAGTTAAAGGTACTTTCTAATTTATCTCCCTGTTGTATTTTCGCATTCTTTTGTGATTCTCTCTTTATTCTTGTTCCTGCTCTTAATTGGATTTTACTAATTATGCAATACCTAATTTAGCAAAGCCAATATGGTGAATCACGAGCCAAAGAGTTGAGGGCAAAGCAAATGCAATTGGCAAAGGCAAAAGCAGAGCCTGTCATAAATCCAAATCTTATTGAGGTGGCAGAGAGGGTTATCACCAAGGAAAAACCAAAGGAACCAATCCCTGATGTTGAGTGGTGGTAAGTTGATTTCAATCTCCCTTCTGTTTAACTTTCTTTTGGCTATCATGTGTATTTCCCCTTAGTGGAACCTTAATCTTTCTCCTCACTCATTGTTGAGCCACCATTCATTTATGTGTTTAGTATCACAGATGGAAGTGGAACTTGAATACTGTTAGTCTTATGTTTAACCATGATATGAGATTTGTTTTGATGGTTCTGCATCCTGCGTGCTTCTAGTCTATGTACGCATCACCAAGATATGGGGATTACATAATTTTTTTATTGCGACTTATCTCCTGGATGTGATTGTGTAATCTTATTTCGTCCGCGTCCTATCTGCTGGACTTTGCACTCTCTAGATAAAGTCCCTGTGATGTGGATTCCTCTTCTTTTTTTTTTCTTCAAAAAAAGTAATCCTTGCTTGTTATTTGGATACAATTGGTGTGAGATGAGTTTAAATGGAGTAACATGGTCATTGAGGATTCATATAGCCGGCTGCAACTTGTTTGGGATTGAGGTATGATTGTTCCTGTTTGTTGTTAATAACCCCCATTCCTCGTTTAAGAGGGATCCTTCAAAATTGACATCTGTTACTATTAGCGGAGCACATTACTGGTCTTGTGCAATTATAGTCTGCTTGAAGTGACTTTGCTTTGCCTTGTGTTATTCCATTTACATGATTCAGGTGTGATTTCTAATTTTTTTTGTAGTTATCTATGCTTGCCTTGCTTGAATCTTCAATTTACACTAGGGAATTCTTGTTTCTTTGTTTGACCTGCCAGGGATGCTCCTCTGTTACGATCTGGTACTTATGGTGGTATGGTCGATGGTGACTTAACTGATGATATGTTGAAGATGGAGAAGATCACTATTTATGTTGAACACCCCCGCCCTATTGAGCCTCCTGCTGAACCTGCTCCACCTCCTCCACAACCATTGAAGCTGACCAAGAAGGAGCAGAAGAAACTACGTACCCAGCGTCGACTGGCTAGGGAGAAAGAAAGGCAGGAAATGATACGTCAGGGCCTGTTAGAACCACCAAAACCAAAAGTTAAAATGAGCAATCTTATGAAAGTTCTTGGCTCAGAAGCCACTCAGGATCCCACAAAGCTTGAAATGGAGATCAGAAGTGCTGCTGCTGAGCGAGAACAGGCTCATATAGACAGAAATATTGCTCGAAAGCTCACTCCTGATGAACGTCGTGAGAAGAAAGAAAGAAAACTATTTGATGATCCAAATATCGCACCGGAGACGATAGTTTCGATATACAGAGTTAATGACCTTTCACACCCTCAAACTCGCTTCAAGGTTGATGTTAATGCTCAGGAGAATCGCATGACTGGGTGTGCGGTTATCTCGGAAGGTATAAGTGTGGTGGTAGTTGAAGGTGGTAAAAAGTCCATCAAGCGGTATGGGAAACTTATGCTTAGGCGAATAGACTGGGCTGCTGCTGTTAAGAAAGAAGATGATGAAGACGAAGATGATGAAGATAAGCCTCTCAACAAGTGCGTGTTAGTCTGGCAAGGGACTGTTGCTAAATCAAGCTTCCATAGGTTTTTTGTTCACGAGTGCAGGACTGAGGCTGCTGCTCGTAAGGTCTTTGCTGATGCTGGGGTTCCTCATTACTGGGATCTTGCTGTAAACTTCAAAGATGATGAATTTTAGGTTCTTTGGATATTATTTCGCCATTGCTTATGATGAACTCGAATATCAGTTCAAGCTTCCTACCGAGGAAAGGCTAGGGGAATACTAGTACTCATTTTGNTGAAAAGCAAGGGGAATACTAGCACTCATTTTGTAGTTTCATTTTCTTGAAGAGCACTAATGACTTTTCTAATGCGTTGGTGTCCATGTTGTTGATGACCTGGGTAAAACATGTTTTTTATCTTGGTAGCTTCTACTTGCTGTTGCTCCATCTAGTATTACTTTAATTGTGCCATCTGTTTGTTTTGTTGCATGGAATCTATTTAGAGATTGAGTGATCTCGTGTTGATTTCTTGGGTATGATAGCTAATTTGAGCTGAGCTAGTGACGTAGTTTACAACCTGATAAATACCTCTCGCAACTGAAACCAGATGATTTCTTTAGTAGATCACAGAATATAGGTGAGTGGTAAATATGGTTGCTCTTGTGTATGGACTTTCGTCTCCCCTTTCGTTCTGTTAGAAATCACAGAGAAAATGTGGATATTTGTTATTAAGACTTAACCTGCTGCTGTTAAGTCTTTTATGGTTGCTTATTACAAAAACAGTGATTGCTTTGTGTGTGATTTGTGGTCTGCTTAGACCCTTTTTACCTTCAATTACCATGGTCCTACTCCTATGGGCTCGAAGTTGAAAAATGATTTACTTAGTTTTGTGTTCCTCTTATTGTTGGGGATGAAATGATTCTGCAATCAGAGACAGCGGATGCGTCCTGTTTTAAAGTGTTAAATTGAACCAGTATTTTCTATACAGAATATAGATATTATGTAAAATAGACTGCCAAAATTCAACAGATTTAGAATTCTGAATTTTAATTTGTTCAATGCTAAGGGATTTATGATGGTCTCTTGTTTTGACATGTTTGGTTCATCCTATTCATGAAAAGTTGAATATGAGTTTCGTAACAAAGTACTTTTGCTTTCAAAATATGGTTTACAAATGATTATACGTGAAGGTCCAGGAGAAGGATAGAAAGATAGATACCTACATTTACTTATCTAGAGTAGAATTGTTGATTATCTACTACTAATTGATTAATGAAAAACGTTTGTTCCTATTGTAGGAATTGAAGCTAACGAGACCTATGTTTATTTAAAAAATAGACATGGAGGGCTTTGGAATTTCTGCAATTCCATTTATAACTTATAAGCAGACAAATAAAATAATACTCCACATTTTCCTCCCTTTTTATTACTTAATTATTTCTCCTAACCGTCCTATCTTTTCACCCCAATCAAACAAGGCCGAGTGCGATAAATGAAGGGGATTTTAAACTACATAGCACCCTAACAAAACCCACAACAAAAAATAACTCTAATATTTTATTTTATTTTACAAATTTTAGCCAGTATACTATGTATACAATCAGTATGTACACATCATACAGACATATACTGATTATATACTTGTTACATATTGAGTATACACCGGCGATGACTGAAATGTTAAGAATACGCTTACAGTCTGGTACTGTAAACACACACACCCCCTCCCAACGTTTCCCCCCCTCATCTCCCATGTAATCAAACCTTTTTAAGGAAACTAATATTGTGATGCAATTATAGAAGAAAGGAATAAACTATTAGGATAGTTGAGAGACAATTTCGTCTAAACCCATATAAACTAATATAAGAAATTTTCGCATTTTCTATCATTAACTCTATTTCAAATCCTCAACATTTTTGTTACAATTTGTGACTTTATTTAAAGTAAAGGAGTTATGAAAATCACTACTCCGCCAAAAATAAATTTTGGAATAAGTTACTTGGAAATGCATATTAATTTAATTTGCATTCCTAAACTGGAATCTCTTTTTCTAGTCTTTTTTTGGAATCCCAGAAAAACTCGCAACCGCTACAACCTTTGCTTTTCGGGTGAGCGCTTTGTGCGCACTGGGTAAACCCCCCACTGTATAATAGCTTGCAAATATAAGGGGATATAAGCCGCACTACGCAAGTCCTGTGCGACATACTTAGACCCAAAAGGCATTGAAGAGGATCGAACTCCCGTCGCCCGTGGACAACACCCTCCAAACCAACTGGGCCGTCCCTTCGGGACCTCTTTCTCTAGTTAATACCTAACTAACTGGCGTGACAAACCCCATCCTGGGGCTTGAGGTCTTGAACATGGAAGTCAAATGTACCAACCTCCATCAGCGTGTTCATAATCCTTCTTCGATTATATGCATATTTTTTCTGAAGTCTCGTTCCAATCTTGAGAAGTCTATGATACTTATTGAGTACAATGTGAAGGCGCTCAACCTTTGTTGCCATAAGAACGCCACCTCATTCACGCATAAGAATGCGATAGGACAGTGGCAAAGAGACGGCCATTAGAAATAGATAATGCCATCACATGCTATTAGAGGCGAAACCAGAATTTGAATTCTAGGCGTTCTAAATTTTAGGATAACGATATTAAATTTTGTTAACTGAATTTTGAATTTAATTTTTGTGTAGATTTAATGAATATTTTAATACAAATATAAAATTTGCACTGAAACTACTAAGTTCGGCAGAACCCGTAGGCCATAGCTACCTTTCCCATGCCTATAATTGTAGTCATAGTAATCATTATTCGCACGTCACCGGTTCGAACCGTGGCTAGTAAACCAAGTTTTGGCGTTTTAATTGTAAGCTGCACGTTTCATTTGATCTAGAAGATCTTATGGACTTAACACCCCCCCNACATAATTTATGTAGATGATCCATGCCTTGTACTAAACTAAAATGAATAGAACTACTAAATTGTTCAACAAGTTTGAATTTCTCAAATTTTCTTTCTTTAGCACCTTTCGTGTTTAAACATCTTAAATAAATCTTTGAAGTCAAAACCCCAAAAACAACTTAGTAATACCATCCCAAGCACTTTCAGAATGAAGACAACATAAATTTGGCCAATACTAAGTTGTTGTTACGTTTCATTTTGTTAAAGTTTGTATTATCGTGTTAATTTTCTTCAATTTTCTCATTTGGCTTTAGCTTTCGTATATTACAACCTATATATCTCTTTTGTCTATATATAAATTTTCTTGCCAACTTAAGGAGACTTAAATAACCTTTGACAAGTCTCCAACACTCAACGATTCTATTTATTTATTTATTTTAGGAAAAATGAAACTGTATAGCCGCTTTTAAAATAATAGCTAATACATACACACATATATATATAAATTTTATATACTTTTACGGCTATAGTTTTGACCGCACGCTAAAAGTGATCTTTACTCTTTATTTTGCTTTGTCTAATGGGCTAAAGCAACACTCCCATACCCATTTCTTCCCCTAAAGAAGAAATGAAAAATGTAGAAGTAGAGAAAAAGAATTTGGTCAATTTTAGTCTATTATTGATTAGATTTAAGTAAAGTCACGATGTGCATGTGGGTTTTTATTCAATAGCAGACAATTTAAATGCAGCAACTGTAAATCGATAAGTATTTATAAGTTGTAGACTTTAGATTTATAAGTGGGATGTTTTTAATTGCACGCAAAGACCTCCACAATATTGTAAATGAATAAAAGTGTGCATGTTATCTCGAATTACTTAAGCTTCTAATTAATAAGACGATCACAAAATTCTTATATGAAACGATATTTAGTTGGTGAATGTAATACTTTTTCTGTTAAAACACATAGAGAAGAAGGATAAAAGAAAGAAGAAAAAACTTAATTACACTCGATGTTTATATCAACTCATTGAATATATACGTGATATGTATATTTTGCACACATATATATATATTCTGTATGTTATATATAAAAATTATATAAATTTATATACTTTTTAACTACCGAATATAAATAATTTCTGTCGAGAACTAAAAGTGATAATAACCGTTGTTGTAACTTTATTTTCCACCTAAAGAGGCCCATGTGGTCTGTTTGGAAATTTCAACCGTTTGGTTAGGAGAAGTAAATGGTCAGTTTTACTGGATAGAGAGAGGTAACTAACAAAACTAAAGGTCTAAAGCTAACCCAAATGGTAAAAAATGAGTGAGAACATCATGAGATGATGAGAAAGACGTTAGATCAAAAAACAATTCGAGGAATATAATTATGGAAGGTAAGATTTTCCTCCTTTGTACCCATAAACAAAACTGAATAGATACATTTCAGAATAGTTTCATCTATTGACAGTATGGAATATTTGTTGAGTTTCTTTTTAATATAGAAAGGTATTAAAAAGAGGGTGAATGAGAAATGGAGGAACGTGAAATTTTTGAGTAAAATTTTAAGCTTTCCTCTCCTTTTAATGAGACATTGTCCCTCATTGGTAGAGGAAAAAGAGTTTGGTGAGTTTATATACAAATGCACTTCATGTAGCTTTTAAAGAGTTAAGAAGAAGGCAAGCCTCGCGCCGTTGTCGCTCGGCTCGGCTTCGGTCAAATGATCGATCGATTGATTAATTTTTTGGACCAAATTTATTTGTTAATAGTAGATATTAACGTAATATTATCCGTGTTTGTAACGGATATTTTCCAATCTGTGTATTAAACCACCAGTTGCAATAGCAGCCGCCTAGTGCTCCTCCCACCATGGCTAAGTGTTTGCTCCATAACAAGCTAGTGCATGCTCCACCATAGCTTGCTCCATAACAAGCTAGTGCATGCTCTACCATGGAGAGAGGGCGGGTCTCACAACTGACTGCTATAAATATGAACAATAGCAGTTGGAGAAAAGATACACCGAAACAGAATTGAGAGCTATTGATCTTCTCTTCACCGAAAACTCAACGTTGGCTATAATTTGCATTCCTTCCTCTCAGAATTTCCATTCGACTTCTGAGTTTTCCTCCCTTGTTCTGCATTGTTTTAAACTACAAACAAAACATTCGTAAGTGTGATTTGCTGCCAAACTTTGTATTTGCTGAAACACTGGGGTTTGAAGTACCGCTACACCAGTGTGTAATTCGTTCTATCTTGGGAGGAAATAATCCATAACCTTGGGTACTAGGAGGGGATTAAATTCCTTAAGGAAACACTGTGAATTCAGTGGGCTCGAATTAATTTCTGTTTTATTTATATTTACGTTTATAAGCTAACGTTCTAATTTACAGAATCATTATTTACAAATACATGCATAATTAATAACAAGCTTAAGGAATTTAATAATTTTAATTTCTGTATTTGTGTTACTTTTATTATTCTGGAAACTATAACCTCTATGGTTTTTGTGTACTCCCGTTTGGAGAGTAAAGCCTTCGTGGCGGTTTGTTGGAGATTAAAATCTACGTGATTTTCTACTCCAGTTTTAAACGTTTGTTTGCGTCATTTTTTTCAG